CGGCAACCGCGAAGCAACTGCTTGACGCTGTCTAAGTTCCCCTTGCGATAGTACAAGGAGCGCACAGTGCCTTCTTCCGAGTACCTGTAGCCCAACCTCAGGCACTGCAAGCTGTCCTACCACACATGAGCCTGCTCCTAACACGACAAGAACTATTACTTTGAATCAACAGCACTGGCGAGCTCGCTTCCGTTCTTGCTTCACCATAGCCTCAGGCACCGTGGGGTAGAAGCTCATCTCCTCAGGCCACAGGCAGGGAATGTTTTCGCAAACGAGCACCCCTCTCAATCGGACTGTCCTGCTCCACACGCACAAATCCGCACGAAGGAGAAGCATGGAATCCCTCGACAATTGCCATGGCAAGGACACGGGGTCGGATCAAACAAGAATGGGCAATGACCACTGATCTAACAGGCTGGCTGCGACATGTCAGGGGCTGCTAGAAACCTGTAGCCGTAACATCAGCCTCACCTGCAGGTTCAGCACCAACACGATTATGCTCTCCACACGCAAGAGGATTGCGAGTCAGCTAATCTGAAGGGCTCTTCCGCTGCTTCAGACATGAATGAACATCATCAGGCCAAATGGAAAAGGCAATCTGCTTTCAGACACAAGCGAATTTTCAGGCACACCTGAATTTGGAAAACAGGGAGTTAAAATTGCATGCAGCTCGACATGAGTAACTGCTTCTAAAATGGCCTGTGCACAAGCAAGACCCCAAGCCCTTGTTGCAGATGAGGTAAACTGCTCGCTGAAGGGACCTATTTGTTATATATATATATATTCAAGCTTTCACGAAGTGATGCAATCAGATTGCATTTCTGCCTGGCTGAAGGATCAACTGCTTTGTGTTTGCCAGTGCTCGGCCATAAATCTGCAGGTCATTGCCATTCTGCCCCGTCTTCAGGATCCAAAACGGCCGCACCGCTCCGCCGCTCCTAGACAGAACCATCATGCATGCAAAGCTCACAAGATGCCACCGCAGCTAGTAATCAGTAACTCCACAGTAAATCAGACGAGCTGCAGACTAAGCTCCAACACATCCTGCTTCTCCTGAGCCTTGCACTTGAAGACATAGGAGGTGGCATCAGGCGTAAGGGTCGAAGGACAAGCGCCAGCCGTCCTGAGAACCCGCGCTTCAGTTGAACACTTCACTGTAGGCGCTCAAACACTGATTCCGTGGATTGTTGCAGACCATGCTTCCATGCTTGGTGGCCAGGAATACTGCAGATCTTTTTCTGGGACACCAAATCCTTCAGCATGATGGCCGTCACAGGCTGATCCTGGGAGCCACACACACCCAAGCCAATCTAAAATGCTAGATTCATGGCATTTAGTTGAAAACACGCCTGTCTGTCCTTGGACTTGTACTCGAACACATACTCCTTCGAACTCTGGATGCAGAATGCCTCAGGGTTTCCCTTTTCGCACTGAGTCAGCACAGCCTCCCGCAAGACCAGAAGGCAGGTCCTCAGGACAAGCAGGCTACCTTGCACATGATGTACGATCACCAAGAACCGCACCGCACTTATACACTGACAAGCTCAGGCAGTCCTTGGCACCAGCTTTCTGTTTGAAGTATCAGCCAGGGACAAAACAAACTGCTTTGCGGCAAGATCAACACTGAAGGTGAGGTTGTGCGTGCTCACGCCAGTCGCCAAGACTGTCTCAGTAACTGGCATGTTCTCGCCGTCAGGCATTTTCTGTGGCGTCACTTGACTTGGGGGCGGGGCTGCCGGAGCTGCTTGTGATGGGGCCGGCGGTGCCGGTGCAGGGGTAGCAGTAGGTGGCGTCGCCGGTGTCGGCGTCGGAGGCTTGGGGCTAGGCGCTGGGAGAGCCGCCAGGGTTGCAGCTGTCTTGGCTGCCTCAGGCACTGCCGTCTTGAAGATGGCTGGCACTGCTGTCTTGGCTGGCACAGCCACTGCCGATTTGCCTGGCACAGCCACTGCCTCGCTGGCGTTGCTTGTCTGTCCTTGCGACGCCTGGGAGCCCTTCGCCAAAACAGCATCCAATGCACCTCGAAACCGCTTCACACGGTCATCAGTCTCGACAGCCTGCTGGGCTTTGGCTGCCTCGAGATCAAAGTGCAGCCCGTAGTTCAGGCAAAGCGGTGAATTTTTGGCCACACCGGACCCATTGTGTGTCCGGACGATCAGGCTTAGCCTCTGTTCAGTCAATCTAAGCTGAACAACCTCATGCAATCACACAAGTCTTCAGGCACACTTCAGACATGAACATCCAAGCTGCATTGCAGAGCCAGAGCCTTTGCTCAAGTCAGCCACCAAAGCCACGTTGGGCTGTTTCCTGATACCTGCAAGGCTTTCGCACTTTGCATTGTAGTTTTATACTCAGTATGACTTGAAGTCGGCTGAAATGCGTTCCAGCTTCTACCCTTTCTAAATGCCCATTAGCCTAGCCTTGATAGTGCTGACAATATCTGGCCGCACCAACGAGGACACAGTACAGCGGGAGTCTTTCGCCGCCAAAACGAACATCATCCACTTTGACCTGTGTTCATGGAAGGGATACTGTAAGAGATCTTCTACTGCCGATGTTTTATTACGTAATATTATCCTTATAACAAAAGTATATATTACTCAACTCTGACCTAGTCACAACTCCGTCAGACAGAAAGGAATGACCCGGCATCCTCAAGAAAGACGTTAATGTCTCCATCGATGAGAATTTGATAGACGTTGCCTTGCAAACCAGCTCGCCCTGGCCACACACACACACACACTTACTTAGCTGGAAAAGCTGTGTACTTAAACCGACCCCTAAACCGCAAACTGGAGGCAAAGCATGATTTCCCTGCCTCAGACAAAGGTTTTTGTGTGATCAGGCCCCTGCCGAACTGATCATTGAAATCGAGTGACAGCCGATTGTCGTTCAGCTCTTTCTGTAGAAGGAGTGGAACCCGCACGTCAAGCGATCCGGAAAGGATGTTGACACCAGCAAAGGTGTCAGCAGAATCAGGCTGCAGTTCTGCGAGATCCCACGGACAGTCTTCGGGAACCCGGCCGCCGTCTATCAATTGCAAAGAGTTGTTCAAGGGTCTCTTCAGGCTTCCTGCGGATCCAGCCATCGACTGTCGCGCGTTGTTGAAGAGCATGTCCTCGGCGATTTTCTTGCCATGGAGATCGGCGTGTGAGTTTACCGAAGGCATGGCCACAAAGCATTCCTGCCCGAGGAGAACAGCGGCCACCCCGGAAGAGGGGTGGGCCGTGGTAGTGAGGATCACCGTCAGGCCGGATGCAGCAGAGACACACAGAGCCTGCTCCAACAGAGGCTTGTAGAAGCTCATCGACCTCGTGAAGGGGAAAAGCTCTATGATGAAATCTCGTTTGCCCTCATCAGGCTGGACACACTGGACCTGCACAGACTCGCCAGCATCTTCCTCCTCACTCATGGCCTCGTGGTCGTCGTCAGGCTCCGCACAATCATCTCTGTTTAGCTCCATCCTCTGAAGGGCTATCATGTTGCGGAGCTCCTCACTCTTTGCTTTTTCCTTCTCCAGGGCTTCTTGCGCTGCCTTCTTGTCAGCCTCGCTGCGCAGAGGGCAACTCAGGGACAGGCATCGCATCCTCAGGCATTCCCACGCACGTGCCTTGCCTTTCATGGAAGCAATGCTTGTTGGCACACTCGGCACGTGCTTGGGTGGACATTGGTGGACCAGCAAAGCAAATTTTGTCTTCTTTTTCTGACTCTGCATCGAATTTCCACTGGTGAGGATGGTCACGAACACTTGCGATTCAGGGAATGTCTGTGCGAGCTTGTCTTGGATCACAGACATAAAATCAATCCGCCCTGCACAGGGCACAGCTATGCTGAAGGACGTCAGGCTGTTCGCAGTGACAATGTCTTTGATCCCGTCTATGAAGTCTGTAGCCACCTTGGGTCTTGATGTGGGGGCGTCCAGGAGAAAACATGTCCTGGTGCTCACATTCACATAGCTCTTGACCGTCTTCTTCAGGCTGGCCAAAGCATCAGGCCCTGCGCACCTATGAAGGCGGTCCATCTGTCGCAACATATCCTCACGAGCCTTCTTGTCCTCGTCACTTTCAACCACAGTGGCCATAGTGACGTCAGCAGGCACGGAAGTTGCCATGGTCTCGTCAGCCCCAAGAGTTTCCAACTCCACAACCATGTCATGGGTGTCCTGATCCTGCTGAGGCTGCTGCTTGTCAACTTCGGCAGTCGTTTCAGGCTGCCCAGAAGTCTTCACCTTTTGGAATTCTTTGAATAGGACCCGGCATTCTGCTATGCCGATGTTTTCCTCTGACACCCCATGGAGGGGTATGTTGGATGTCATACAAGAGGCTACCTTCATCAGTCCGGCCCTTGTTTCAAGCGAAGAGATGACCCGGGCCATTGCAGCTGACGACCTGCACACCTCCCCGAATTGCTTCAGCATGGCTTTGTGCCAGGCGGCTTTGACCACCATGGGCCCACAAAGCTGAGTCTTGAGAATCGACTCAGTCACTTCCTTCCCGTCCTCACGCATCATCTGAGCAAGCTGGAGAACTTTGATCGCATCTTCAGGCTTCAGCTTTTGCGCTCCTGACCAAAACTTACATCATTTTCGGACATAGGCCTATAACTGAATCTGCAATGACACACTAAGACCGGCCTGGGCCAAGAAAGTAGCTGTTGTCAAAGACCCAGCTGTCAGGCAGAGTCTTCATGTCCTTCAAGACGTTGAGCACCTGCTCAGGCAGGTTCTGGTGACACCGGATCCATCTCGTGACAGTGGACTCCTTGCCCTTGCCGTAGACTTCGAGCAACTTCTCCTTCACCCCCTTGTAACAGCCGCCTTGGAAGGGGGGAAGCAGCAAAGCTTTAAGCGTTGAATCGAAACTTCAAACCTGAATCACTGCAAGTGCCCCCGCCTGCCACACGGCGCTGGAACCTCCCGACAACGTCGATTTTCTGATAGATCGACGTCGGGCGGTACCGGTTCTGCGCCTCGTCGTGGCGCATCGCCTGCCAACTGATGTGATAGTCCCTGTCGTACGGCAACCCGTAGCTGACCAGGTCCACGCTCAGGCCGTCTTGGAAGATGCTCTCGAGGTTCTCAGGCATGTCCAGGTCTGTGTTCTCCTCGTACTCCTTTTTCAAGGCAACAAGCGCGGCAACAGTTTGAAAGCCGTCCGACAAAATCGTCAGGCCGTTGCAATCCAGCATCTCCTTACCTGCAGGGTCGCAGACGACCTGAACGCCGGCAAAGAGGGACATATTGAACTCGCCGTTTCTGAACTTCTCAGACAGTTCCTTGATGCGCTCATCATCCCGACCACGAAAAGAGCTCACGTCAGGATTCAAGCTGATGTCTTGCAACGGCTTCAACTCCTTCGACTTGATCGTCTCCGGCCCCTGCCAGCAGGAGGCGAAAACTGATGCACACGACAAGAACATGTGACCAGCGACTCCGAACATCCCAGGCCTTGCTGGACGCAATCTTATTTCCTTTGCGAGGAGGCATGGCGGCTGAACACAAAAATGTCGAGCTGCGTTATATAGCAGCTGGGACCAATTGCCCCTATGTCCAAGTGCCTACAGTCAGGCCTACACTGTCTCAATGCAGATAGGTCCGAACGACCACTGGGCTAACGACTATGGTAGTACGGATTGGAAGCCTGCCAAGGCAACTCAACCTCAATACACAGCTCATCCCACACAGGGCTACAGGCAATCCCTGGAAATGCTGCTGACACAGGCAAGACTGCAATGCTCGAATAGCACATATCACGGCAAGCCACTCCACACCGCAGGCACCAGCATGCGTGACCAACACAGTTATAGAGCAAACACAATCTTACAACTGTGAGCAATAGCACATCCATGCCTCTGTGAGAAGGTCTTCTCATCAAGGCCCGCTCTCTCAGACCTGGCCAGAACACCACAGACAAATGTCACAGAATCGTGCAACACTGCTCCGGCTGCATGATTTCAGCCTCACCCCAAACAACATCGAGTGCTCCAGAACAGACAAAGACAAGATCTGAAGATCTCTGCTGCAAAGATATAGTAAAGTAGGAAAGAGATTATAGACATACAGAAGTATAAGTGTTCTATTATGAATCCCCCTGCCTGGGGGTGGGTCCTCCAGATTATGGAGACTTCGGATTGAATCCTCTATCATTAATGTCATTAGGACTTCATCCTGCTTCGGGCTAAGAGTCAACATGGGGATCGCCGAGATGATGACCCTCAAAATAGAGACTTCGAGTCGAAGTCTCCATCCTATGGGTGAGGGAAACCAAGACCTCAAGGAATAACAATTGGCTCATCTTTATTTTCTTATTATCACTGACAATATGATACTGGCGTGCGTTTGGGGGAGTTGTGATTTTGGGGACCCCCAGAATGGAGACTTCGAATCGAAGTATCCATTTTGGGGGTCCCTCAACTTGGGACATCGGACACAGCTTTGGGAGCTCTCGCACTTTTACTTACAAGCCCTCGACACTCCGAGGTAAATGGGTGCACAGTTCACGTGGTGTGCACAATGCAAGTTTCTCTTGTCTGTGTCTTGCGGTACGCTTGAAAGGCACAATTATAGACGAGTCCAGCACGTCCACGCCTCTGCTTCCTCAACAAGCCTCAGGCAGCAGACCTGAGAAGAAGGGGACACATAATGAAATAACACACGCTTCGAGCGAAATCTGCTGGTCTGGTTTCTCTTGGCTGTGTCTTGCGGTACGCTTGAAAGGCACACTTAGATGAGTACAGCAGGTCCACGCCTCTGCTTCCTCACCAAGCTTCAGGCAGCAGACCTGAGAAGAAGGGGACACATAATGAAACAACACAGGCTTCGAGCAAAATCTGCTGGCTGGTCTGGCAAGCTTGCAAAAGCGTGCTTTTTTCCCACATACACGCATTTCACAATGACAGGGCAACACACCGACCATCAGGCAGACTTTACACAACTCAGAACTGCGGCTAGAAGCAACCCAGCTTGAAAAACATGGATGCCGTCGCCCAAATCCCCTGCTGACAATGCCTGCAATGAAACAGTGTCTACAGGAACTCCTGCAGCTTGCGCCACAGGCTCCGTAACAGGGAAGCCACAGGCCAGCAACAACTCTTCAGTCACAAGCCAGCGAGATCGACTTGGACTCCACCACAAGCCAGTCGAACGCAATGTCGGAATCTGCCGCCTGTCCCCTGACCATATTCGGCGGTGCGTCGGGTCCTGCAAGGACCGCAATCGAAACCCCAAGTGGATAAGATGTCAGGCAAAAGTTAAAAACCGTTCACCCTAAACCCTATACCACTATACCCTAAAGCTTCCGCGCTACAGCTAAGCTGCCTGGCCTGAGAGAGGTCTATCAGGCAGGAATCATCCAAAAGTGCATCACTTCCATACTTGGCTCGCCACTGGGCCAGGTACTTCTTCTCATAATTCCGCTGCTTCTCAGTCAAGAGGTAGCGCCAATCAAAGGAAGCTCGTGAAAGAGGACCTTGCTTCAGCTTCTTCCGTGCTTTGTTTTCTGCAGCAAGAAGCCAGTCGTCCCGACAGGCATTGAACACATCAGACAAAACTCCAGGCTCCGTGCTGTGAGAAATCACTGAACACACATGCCTGTAGGTGTCATATACATCGTGGCCCGGCAACCAAACATTCTTCCTTATGAGAACGATAAACTGACGGGATCTCCGGATGAAGCTCCAGGCACCACAATCACCCGGCTGCGCATCAAGCTGCCAGATGTAGTAAACATCAGACAAAACCTCTCGAACAAGAGACAGTCCAGCAAATTCTGTGGTGCACTCATGAATGGCCCAAGTAGGTTGCGTCTTCTGGATAAAAACGAGCCAGACCAGGAAAGGCAGGCTGCGAGGATCGTTCCAGCCACGTCTCTTTCCATATTTAGACCACGGCTGACATGGCGACCCACTGAAGTCGCCATGGTTCTGCGACACCAAAGGCTGGCAACGCAAATGAAAAGAACGCCAGCACGGAGTGTTTCTTGCATCGAAGCACTTCGAAATCAGACTCAGGCGCTGGCCCGGAGAAAGATCTACCATCTGGGACCATGATGGCAATGAAGGGGCATAATCCATGATATTTTTCAGAACACAATGATTTCCCCTGGAGAGCAGCGTTTGGGCACGCTGCCGATTGAGCTCGCAGGCAAATCGGAGTGTCAGTTCTTTTGCACCAAGGAAGCAGGATTGAACGACAGCCTGCAGCATGCCGGCTGCCATCTCAACACTTCCCAAGCCAGAGAAATGTGTAGACACACCCATTAACCAGAGCAGACCGTGTCAATGTAGCATAACCGTAAAGGTTGTCCAAGGCAGCTACGGCCGTAAACAAAACACGATACGCTGCCAACAATCTTGGCGGCGACTCGTACAATTCAGCCTCAACCTCAAATGTTTCTTCAGGCTCCCCCAATTCTGATCCGCCACTGGAAGCAAGGTCCAGTCTAGCATCAGACACCGGCGTTTGCTCCATCTTGTCAGTCTCAGAGTCACTTGATGCAAGCTGCATTTCGGCAACGCTGCTGTGGATTTGATTGCGAGTGGCCGGGGCATTGCATTCGTCTTCACTGCTGGCCAGCTCCATTGCCAAGGTTCTGCTTCTTGATACTCAAAGTCTCATATTTACATGACTTTGCCTTTCTCATGCCCTCTGTGCCTAGGGCCTAGGCTGTCCAAAGAATCAATGTGCCCCCCTGACATGGCTATCCCAAGCCAAACCTCCGCCCTGGGCCCCTGCTGCGACCAACATGAACTGTGTCGGTTTAGAAGTGCAGAGGGCTTCTGAGCAAAGGGTCACAGGATTCTGAGCGAAGGTGCACAGCAGGGTTCTGCTAAGGTTCTGGGCGAAGGCAGAGAAGCTTCTTAGAAGAACAGCCCGAAACAGCGAAGCCCTCTGAGAGGCAGCCCCAGGGCTTCTCTGCCCGATAATTAACAAAGAACGATGTACCAAAATCTGGTCTTCTTTGATTGAGACATAAGTGTGCAATCTGATGTCGCAGAATAGCTTACACCCATCATCCAGGAGCCCAAAACCCCTTGCCACTGAGAGCACGACTCATCTCTTCTCTGGCAGGCGACAGGCAGGTGACAGGTCTGGCCTCAAAGTGGCACACTTCAGAAGTCCGAATGCCAGGCAATAATCAGGACGGACGAGTACACCGCAAGCAATGAGTCTTACACATCCTCCGAGACATGTCCAGTGGCACACAGGTTTCACACCCCAGGATAGTGACAGTGTCACTGGCCTTTAACAGTCCAGGGCGCAGCTGGCATCATCACATCCGAAGATGGTTCTTTCTGACTCAGAGAAACTCAGGTGTTGTAAAGAGTGAGTTGTGCAAGTTTCTGCTCGGACATGGTCAGGCCAAGAGCCCACGAACCAACTGGATGCCAAACTACTTGGTCTGGGTCACACTGTCACCCGATGCTCAATTCAATGACAATAAAAGTTAAGTAACTCTCACTATTGGTAGTCAAGGTCAACATGACAATGAATGCTACCATGACTGCATCAGG